CACTGTATATCATTGCAGCATACAAAATGAATATTCCCATCCAGAATACGTGGATTGAATAGCTCAAAGATATTCCCATACATCTTATCTTCAACAGATAATTTCCCATTTTGTGTTTCTTATATATTTTACTTCTCCTTCCCCCACCCCTGATTCTCTCCCTTTCACCTTCTGCATTATTAAGAACTGTTAAAAGAATCAACAAATTTGGGGCTGGATAGAGGTGCAATGGTAGACCGTGAAATGATGTAAGGCTAACCCCCATGGCAAGATTCCAGGCTCTCATCTAAAGACCTTGTGAATCTACCGGGTATACATGTGCCCATGAGCCAGCACTTGTTGAAACTAGAGTGGATTATGCTGTCAAGACTCTTCCTTGGGGAGATTGCTGTCTCTCCATTTCTCTCTGTTTTTCTCATTCATGGATAAAAAAAGGACTAACAGTTTATTTGACAAATAATTTGCAGATAGGTCACAAGAGATTACAAGAGCAGATAGCTTTATTATTTATTTTATTATTTTTAAAGATAAATAATTTAAAAGTTGACAAATGTAATTGAAGTATGGCCTTTAGACTCAATTCAAATGAAATGGTATATCATTGAACAAATGCAAATGATCAGCAACCTTGATTATTAATTCACCATAATACCTAATGTAGTATGCTTGACTAGTACATGGTATTTACTTACATTTAGTCAGTACTCTGTAGCCATTTATTAATTTGAAATCAGAAGAAAAATCTCCATAAAGTAATCTCATATCAAAACCAATAAAAATTCTTTTCACAATCAAAACTTTACACCATAATGACAGGTGTAAATATCTCTTTTAGCATTATTGGAGTTCCTAATATGCACCAACTATTCAGACTTATGGAATAATTTCTTTTTCTAAGCTTTATTGATTATTCAAAAATAACAATTTTCTTACCAGGTTGATACAAAATTATACTGTATATCATTCTTTATTAATAAAGACAAGGAGTTTCTTTTATTAATCTCATATTAGAAACAGAATTATTTTGTTCTTTGAGAGAAAGATCAAATAATTTCTAGCCTTTAAAATTCCTTAATTCCATAAAAATTAATGCCATGAATATTTCAATTAGTAAATATGTTCTGTAGTTAACTTGTTTAACAGCTTAGTAAAAAGTCATTTCAAAGAGACTCAATTCATGGAGGACATTAATTATAGCAAGAGGTATTTTGATATTGACATCATGTTTGTGCTAAGGTCATAGTCTTGCATTATAATTTAAGTGTTTTGACATGTGGTGACATGCTTAACTCACTGAAATACATTTAAATATGTCTATAAAGGTTAAGAGAAGACTAACAATTGTTCTTGAGAAATGACTATGATATTTACCATGAAGACACATTACAAAGAATCAAAATTTCTAGTCCTTTTGCAGTGTAAAACTAAAACATTTTTGTATCCTACAGGGACAAATGAGTATTGGTGCTGTAATTGCCATAAAGGTCATGATAAGGAAACTTCATTATGTATAGGTAGAAAAGATCATCCTCCATTAGGCTATCTTACAGGATTCAGCACATAGTACCCAAGACTAATCATATACAGACATAATCATATAGTTTATAAACTAGTATAAAGATAAGTAACTGAGTTTTAGACAATGTCCAAACTTTGCTAAAATGACCAGGCTATGAAAGTATAGTGTTACTGAACTATCTGTACTTGCCTAACATGATTTTCAAACTGCCAATTCTGGGACTTGAACCACAGTCGTTCATGTGACAGTCTAGCTCCTAAACCACCATGCCACCTGCTGGCCTTGAGATTTGTCCCTTTATTTCTTTACTTTTTTGCTTCTTGAATTGGGAGCACTGCTACTATTAGTTGCATATACATTTAGTTTTGATTTTGTTTTATTGATTTTATCTTATTTATTTCTCGTAATACTCGTACTTTTCTTTCTCCACTCCCCCCGGGATACCATTGTATTTATTTATTTATTTATATATCATTTTTAACTTCCAAATCATAATTATATACATTTATGGGATACTATGTGATGGGGTTTTCTTTTTTTGTGTGAGGTTTTCTTGTTTTTATGCCAATGAGTACTTGTACACAAAAGAGAGAGAGACAGAAAGAATGACAACTACAATAAGACCTGGTCATGCCACAATCTTTTTTTCCTCCTTTTTTTCCCCATTATATTAGGGTCCTGAAGGTTCCTAGCAAATTTTTCAAGCCACTGGTCTGTGAGTCAAACCATGCTTAGCCTTTTGGGATCTGTCCCTCCTGCGCAGCACTTAGCACTGAGCCATGAAGATGGCTCTGTGATGTTTTCATATGTGTATATGATGTCCTTCAGGTGCATCCACATTGTTGCAAATGGCACGATTACTTTATTTATAAAGAGTGTTTAGTATTCCATTGTGTTCATATTACAAATGTTAATCAAATTTTTCCTCTTTTGCATCAAACATTTGCATTATGGTTGCCATGAATTTTGTCTAAATCAGAAAAGAAAAACAAGTACTTTGCCATGGTCAAACAAGGTGGGAAATAGTAAGAAGGAGGACTAAAGATAGGAAAGGAAGAGGATTTGATAAGCAAGTAGAACACAATACAATGGAGAAAAATCTAGCATTTTTAAGTACCTTTCAAATATTGGGTACTAGGTTAGTTGCTTTATCTGAAATAGCTCCATTCTTCACAGTAATCCCAATAAACAAAATATTATTATGGCCTTTTACAACACAATAAACAAAATATTATTATGGCCTTTTACAGATAAACTGAATATTGATGAGAAATATATGCTTTCTCTAGATGACAAAATGAAGTGGTAAAGTAGAAAGTATGTGTTGCATAGAGCCCCACCTTTTTTGGTGTGCACTGCATGAATCTATTGTTCAAGGAGTGAATCATATTTCAATGCACAATTCCAGGGCCTTGAAAGTTACATCCTTGTGGAGTGAGTCAATGAAAGACCCAAATGATGCACTCTGATCACAAATAATGATTAGTGAAAGGAGAATTTTTTATTGGGTTTTGAAAATCTTGGTAATAGTTCAAATTTATAACCTTCTCTAAGAATAAAGACCTATTTGATATAAATTAAATAATTTAGTAATGCTTATGATTAGAATCTATTACTAAGAAGCAAGTTATTCAATTAAAATTGTAGAGTCATAAAACTGACTTCATGTTCTCCCCACTCCACCATACCCTGTCAACCATTATCCCTTACTTGGGAAGCAAGCAAATTGAGAATAGAAATAAAAAATATCAATCACACAGATAAAATCTTCTGTGGATTTCTGATGGGTCAAGTTGCCTTTATCTGGCAAAGATAACTTTTCCAAAGGAAAAATGTTCTTCCAGGCAAATGGATGTTCACAGACCAGAAAGAATATTTACCATTAAAAGTTTTCTCTTTAAGATATCATAATCGAGGACATTACATGTAGTTTTAGTGGAAAATAAGATACTATTCATAGGGCTTATTTTATAAAATATTGAGTTAAAACATACAAAAAGAAAACTCTTTTATAAAAAGATATTGTGATCTGCAGAAGTTACTTATGCTCTAATGACCCCAACTTTGGTAAGTTCCTTGCCAAGTGCGACTTGATCTCATACATAGTATAAAAAATTTCCTTCATTTTTAAAAACCATCTGCCAACTTTATTAATTTATTTCAACCTTATTTGAATCAGTCAGTCTGGTTGATTTGTAACACTACCAGGAAAAGAGAAAAATTATCCCTCTCAGATAAACAGACATGTTTATTTGTTGTTTGAATAACACTACAATTAGACTAGACCAGATACTCAATATAATTGGATCTATGGGACATTCTCCCTAGAGCTTCAGAGTTTGTGATACTGTATAAATAGATTTCTAACTTTAATTTGCAAGTTGGACTTTTTGTAAAAGGGAATATATGACTTAAATTACGTCGAAATGCCAATGGTTGGTTCTTTAGGGGATGTTTCTGTTATATAGACATAAAGATAACTGCAGCAATATGAAAGAAATATGCTCCAGGTGCCTGACTCCATAAGCATAGGCTCATGCCTAACATGAGAATAAATGTCGTCATATTCCTGGGGTTGAGAAGGAGACTCTGAGCTAGCATCTAAATGTTCAAGGTCTTCTAGTAAATAACTAGTGGCTGCAGAAATCTATACCTTTTTAAAGGACAATCTTATTTATTTACTTTGAAAAAGAGAGACAAAGTCACAGAAATATACATATAGAGAAAGAGAGACATACACAGAGAGAGAGAGACTCTTAAGGGTCCTATGCTACCTCCTCTTCCAGAGTTTACCCGCATACCAGGATCAAGGTCACATGGTATGTGCAAGTCCACCCAGAAACAGAACCCCAATCTTCTGGAGGGCTTCGAGGATTGCAGAGTTTTGTACCACTGCCGTGTCACCACAGCTGGGCCTGTCTATACCTTTTTGACTCCTTCAGTCTTTCAAATTATTTTGAACATATCTCTAGGAGAAGCATATGAAACTGTGAACTTGGAATGCACATTACTTTCTAGGTAAGAAGACTATTACCAAACTAGGGGAAGGAAATTATTCCAGTGGTTTGGAAGTAAAGAGATGACATACCAGAGATCAGTTACAAATGTAGTTTCAGAAAGGGAAAGGAAGAAAAAATTGTTACTTTCCTGGTTCTATCAGGATTTTTAAATGTTTATTTTAAAAATGTTTATTTAGAATGTTTATTTAAAAATCCCTACTTCTTTCCACATTATCTCTAAAGAGCAAAAATAACATTTCAAGAGCTTATTTGTTAACATCTTGCTTACATTTCTGTATTAATAACTGATTCCTTCAAATATACATTGTTAGTATTATCACTAACCTAGACGACCATTTAAGTATCAACCACAAATTCATATGAAGAAAAAAATTCCAGAATATATAAAAGGGATATTATATGAATATATAACGTGATGTTAACCCACTTATTCTTGTATACAGATGAATACAACAGCGTAAATGTTCCAGGCAAATTGGACATCTGTAACAGATTTTCTCTTCCTGGGTTTCTCAGAATACCCAAAGGCTGAGTTCATCATATTTGTGCTGTGTCTCTTGATGTACATGAACACCTTGCTGGGCAATATTATTCTGATCTCTATCACCATCTTGGATTCTCACCTGCACACCCCCATGTACTTCTTCCTCAGCAACCTCTCCTTTCTCGACATCTGGTATACCTCCTCTGCTCTCACTCCAATGCTGACAAACTTTATTTCAGGGAGAAACACCATCTCATTCTCAGGATGTGCTTCTCAGATGTACTTCTCTCTTGCCATGGGCTCTACTGAATGCGTTCTGCTGTCCATGATGGCATATGACCGGTATGTGGCCATCTGCAACCCCCTGAGATACCCCATCATCATGAACAGGAGGGTCTGTGTGCAGATTGCAGCTGGCTCATGGGTGACAGGCTGCCTCACTGCCCTGGTGGAAACCATGTCTGTGCTATCACTGTCTCTCTGTGGTAACACCATCATCAACCATTTCACTTGTGAAATTCTGGCTATCCTGAAATTGGTTTGTGAGGACACCTCCATGGCACAGTTAGTCATGCTGGTAATCAGTGTACTACTTCTTCCCTTACCTATGCTCCTCATTTGTTTCTCTTATGCATTCATCCTCTCCAACATTTTGAGAATCAGCTCAACAGATGGACGAAGCAAAGCCTTTTCGACCTGCGCAGCCCACCTGACTGTGGTGGTTTTGTTCTATGGGACAGCACTCTCCATGTATCTGAAGCCTTCAGCAGTAGATTCACAGGAAATAGATAAATTTATGGCATTGGTATATACTGGGTTAACCCCGATGTTAAATCCTATCATCTATAGTCTACGGAACAAAGAGGTAAAAATGGCTGTGAAAAAATTGCTGCTGAGAAATCCTTTTAATACTATCTTAAATTCTATCTTCAAATAATATTGAAACAAGCACATTCATGTAGATAATCTCCCATGGTATTCAAAATACTGTTTCACACATAGTTAATTTAAACCAAGGCTCTGGGGGGGAAAAACTCTTTTTTGATTGATATCACCATTGTGTCTTTTATCCAGATTTGCTCTATAAATAAAACTTTTTATTCATGTATTATTTATACATATTAATAATGTGTCCAGAAAATTAATTATTTATTTAATATTAATATAACATTAAAATTAGACAATTGTCTATTGTTTCATATTTGACTTACTATATCATCTTGTAATCTAGCTATAGTATAACAATAATAAGTAATATAAGAAGGAAGTAAAATATTAAGTCTAGTATTGTTTTAATGAATTTTTTGTCTAATTTTATTTGTTATTATTATTTTTAAAATTTGATCACAAAGAGAGAGAAAGGGAAAGTGAGAAAGCAAGCCACCAGGTCTCACAGTTGGCAATGTACGAGTCCCCAACTACCACACCACCTGCTGGCCCCAAACCTAGTATATTTTGAAATAATTTATTCTAAATGATTGTCAATTATCTCTGAGTTTAAGAAAAAAACCAAATATTTTTAATTAATATGAATATAGTTTAAGATGTATTTTTTCCACTTTTTAAATTTCATTTCCTTTTATACATTCAATCACATTATTTAGCTTACAAATTGAATATTTCAACAGGTGAACATTTCTCCCCAGTCCAGTTGATAAAACTATAAAATATCTTCAACAGATAATACCACATTTCTTTGTCCCATTGATGCTTTGCCTCCCTATTTTTCTTCTAAATGTCCTTCCTAAGATCCTACTCTTTCACACACACATTGTATCTGGTATTTACTGTGTTTCTATATCCTTTAGTCCTTTCTTCAATAATTTTTAGTCATAGAGTGAGGACACTTGGTATTTATTAAGTGGGGACATACAGTGTCTCTCCTTCATAGCTTGGCTTGCTTCACTCAGCAGTAAATCTTTCTGTCAAAAGCCATTTTTTTTTTAATGACTGAATAGTATTCCATAGAGTATATTTGCAATAGTTTTTCTATCCATTCATCTGTTCATGGGCATTTGTGTTGGTTCCGTGACTTAGCAATTGTGAATAGTGCTGCAATAAACATTGATGTGCAAGCACTTTTCCGATGCTCAACATCCTTCATTTTAAGGAAATGCAGATCAAAACAACAATGAGATACTACCTAACCCCTGTCAGAATGACTAAGATGAAAAAAAATAATGATTAGTGCTGGCTAGATGCCAGCGAAAAGGGAACTCTCCCACACTGTTGGTGAGAATGTAAATGAGTATTGGCCTCACATATTTTTCCCCAAATACGATCATTTCTATCACCTTTTACCATCTACAAAGAAAGTTACATAATAGTGACAGCATTCTCTCTATAAAAGAACTTCATGAAAAGTCATAATATACTGTGTTCCCCATAACTATTATTTCTTACTCGAAAATTCAGCAGCCGCATTTTTCTTGGTCAGTCAACATTATCATTATTTTTAATATCAGTATACAACTGTGGCATATAGATCAATGACTTTGTTGTTTGTTTTATTAGTAGATATTTGGCTATCCGCAGGTTCTTATTTATTTAATGATTATTTTTATCAACAAAAACATTCTGTAATTGATACCCTGAGCTTATAATATGGTATACTAGTGCCTTCTAGTTCTGCAATAAATGTGTAGGAGATCTTTTACATTCTAATAATGCACTGTTGGAAATTTTTTTACATATATATGTAATGATAAAAAAGGAAAACAAAACAACAACAACAAACACAGAACTTCTTAAATTTCCAGTCACACCAGCTACTGAGATGCTGTGCTCTGCAGACTTGAACTACATGTGCGGCTCAGTTTTGAATCCTGGTCCAATCAAATTGCCAGGTGTAGAAGCTTGAGTCTGTTGTCCCAGCCACCAGGGGCGACCAAGGCAGGAGGCTTGCTAGTTGGAAGCTGGCGTGGACAACACAGCCAGACTCTGTCTAAAACAAAAGATCTCGAATGATGGCACATACCTGCAATCCCAGCTGAGAGGCTAAGGAGGACTGTGACAGAGAGACCCTGTTCAAAACAAATGAACAAATAAACACTGAGGAAAAGTGATGTGGACTTTGATTTTTTTCCCAAGTAACATTTTTCTTTTTGTAAAAAGAATAATTTCATTTGATTTATTCATTCATTTATTTTAATTTGAACAGAGAGAGACAGAGAGAGAGAAAGAGAGAGGAAGTGAGAAATCAAGCCACCTACCTGTCCAGGATTCAAACCATGGTTGGCCACATGGGAGTGTCCAGTGCCTTAACCACCATGTCACCTGCTGGTACCTCAAGTAGCAATTTCTTTTATTTTTCATGATCCAAGAAAGGATATTAACAAATTTACAAAGTTACCAAAATATCATTTTTCTTGTGTAATCATAAAGTTGTAAAATGTTAGTAACACGTGTAATATGTTATTTGACATCATAGATAAAATATGAATAGTTCTCAAACATTCTCTTATATTTACTTAAAGTTCATATTATGCTAGAATTCACTGGACAGGGCCATTGTCCATAAAAGCTACAGAACAGATATTATAATTGTCATAAGAGTATTTTAGAGATAATGCTGAGAACCTATGTAAAAATGCTTCTAGTATTTACACTTAAACTACTTCCTAGATATTAGAACTTAAATTTTATTTTTAGTTTCTCTCCATGTTGTTATTTAATAGCTTCATAAATCAAAAGATTTGCCGAAACTTTAAAAGAAATTGAAATAAAAATATTTAAAAATAAATAAATTACATTTGGAAGCATTATATGTGTGTGTGTGTGTATAAATAATGCCTTAATGACAGTAATCACAAAGCTCTCATGAATATACTATAGAAACACAGCCTCCGAGACCAGCAGTTAGCACAATGGCTATGTTGCTGGACTCCCACGTAGTTGACCGCGGTTCAAGTCCCAGACCCGGTGGCTTAAACTCACTCCGGGCGCGTGTGCATGCGTGCCCAAGATCCCGAGAGGAGAATGGAGGAGAAGGGATTGCGGCATGGCCAACCCCCTGGGGGGTGATTTCATGCTTTCTGTCTCTGTCTCTCTCTGTCTGTCTGGCAAGCACACACACCCTATGGCAAAAACCTCTCCAAAAAAAAAAAAAAAAGAAAGAAAGAAACACAACCTCCAAATTTCTAAAATTCCTGAGGCTATTTTTCTACATGAATTATGTGATGAATTTCTTCCAGTCTTACCTCATGGTTTCTTTTTAGTAAGACAGCAAAGCATTATATTTCTTGAATTGATTTTTTTTAAAAAAAAAACTTCAAATTTGTTGCACGAAATAGGAAGCCATTCTGACTTTAATATGATGGGAGGAAAGGGCTCAAAAAAGAATTCTCTTTTTTCTATCTTACCTTAAACATAAAGGGTGTTCATTCCTTAATATAATACGATATAGTCAAGACCAAGGTACAAGTGTTAATAAGGTCCAATTAAAAACAATGTAGTGAAACATTCAAGGCCTGATCTTATAGTAAATTTCGAATGCACAGTATAATACTATTCATTATAGTCACCATGCTGGGCATTACATCTTTAGAACTTTTTCATCCTACATAAATGAAACTTTGTTTTTATTATTTATTTATTTATTTATTTATAGAGATTTTTGCTATAAGGTACTTGTGCTTGCCAGAGAGACAGAGACAGACAGAGACACAGAAAGTGAGAAATCATCCATGAGGGAATAGCCACACCACAATCCCTTCTCCTCCATCCTCCTTTCAGGATTTTGGGCACTAATGCATACGTGCCTGGTGTGAGCTTTAATCCACCCAGTCTGGGACTCGAACTGCAGTCAACTACATGAGAGTCCAGTGATATAACCATTATGTCATCTGCTGGTCCTGAAACTTTGTGATCAATGTGTGATCAAACTTTATCAATGCCTCCAAATTGCTCCCAATCCTCAACCCCTGGCAACTACCATTTTACTCTCTGTTTCTATAAATTTGACTGTTTTAGATTTCATACGTGAGATCATGCAATATAATATGAGTCTTTTAATATTATTTTTAATTTACGTCTCACAAACTTGCCTCAAATCTTTACATTATCCATATTAACAAAATTGTTAAAGAATATACAATAATATACTAATTGTAGGTGCCTATTACTTAGTACATTTCCATACTGTTTATTTGCTGTCTAATATTGAAGTCATAATCCCCACTGCCTCGGAATGTGACTGTATAGTGTTTAGAATTAGTCTTTAAAGAGGCAATGAAGTTAAAACTGTTTCATGGGACTAGGCCCTGAAGCAAAAGTTTGATGTCTATTTTATAAGAGAAGAAGATTAGGAAAGAGAAAGGGAGATACACCAGACATGTCTGTAGACCGAGGAACAACCACGTGAGGATGCACTGGAAAGACAGCCATCTGCAAGCTAGTGGGAGAGGGCTCAAAAGGAATCACATCTGCCAACATCTTGGTCTTGGATTTCCAGCCTTCAGGACTGGGAAAAAATTATTTTCTATTTTTTAAGTCACCCAGTCTGTGGTATTTTGTTATGACATTTGAAAATTGATAGATTTTTCATCTTCTTTCTTTATCTGGTTCCAACCACCATTAGGTAACCATTCAAAGTACTGGGTTGTTGGAAGAGTGTAATGCATTTTTGCATTAAAAAAAAAACAGAAAAAATAGATCATGACTTTTCCTGATGTGTATCTATTTTTGTGTGTTGTTACAAAGTATAATTTCTGTTTCATGTGCATGCCTTTTATACTTTATATACATGTCAGCAAGCCATTTATTTCCACTCTAGATTTAATATAAGGTCTATAGAGGAAAATCTTATGGTATATCTATGTGTATATATATCTATATGTATGTAAGTATACATTTTTGAATATATATATTTTTGAATACACATTTTTCAACATATAGATATATATTTTAATATAAATACAGATTATCATATATACATTT